GTGTGATTATGAATGCTTTTATTTTCTTTTGTATTTTATTATACTTGTAAGTTCTAGGGTACATGGGCACAACGTGCAGGTTTGTTACATAGGTATACATGTGCCATGTTGGTTTGCTGCACCCATCAACTCATCATTTACATTAGGTATTTCTCCTAATGCTGTCCCTCCCCTAGACCCCCATCCCCCAACAGGCCCTGATGTGTGATGCTGCCCTCCCTGTGTCCATGTGTTCTCATTGTTCAACTCCCACTAATGAGTGAGAACACATGTTGTTTGGTTTTCTGTCCTTGTGCTATTTTGCTGAGAATGATGGTTTCTAGCTTCATCCACGTCCCTGCAAAGAACATGAACTCATCCTTTTTTATGGCTGCATAGTATTCCATGGTGTATATGTGCCACATTTTCTTTATCCAGTCTTTTATTGATGGACATTTGGGTTGGTTCCAAGTCTGCTATTGTGAATAGTGCTGCAATAAACATATGTGTGCATGTGTCTTTATAGTAGCATGATTTATAATCCTTAGGTATATAAGACTGCTGGGTCAAATGGTATTTCTAGTTCTAGATCCTTGAGGAATCACCACACTGTCTTCCACAATGGTTGAACTAATTTACAGTCCCACCAGCAGTGTAAAAGTGTTCCTATTTCTCCACATCCTCTCCAGCATCTGTTGTTTCCTGACTTTTTAATGATCACCATTCTAACTAGTGTGAGATGGTATCTCATTGTGGTTTTGGTTTGCATTTCTCCGATGACCAGTGATGATGAGCATTTTTTCATGTGTCTGTTGGCTGCATAAATGTCTTCTTTTGAGAAGTGTCTGTTCATATCCTTTGCCCACTTTTTGATGGGGTTTTTTCTTGTAAATTTGTTTAAGTTCTTTGTAGATTCTGCCTATTAGCCGTTTGTCAGATGAGTAGATTGCAGAAATTTTCTCCCATTCTGTAGGTTACCTGTTCACTCTGATAGTTTCTTTTGCTGTGCAGAAGCTCTTTAATTAGATCCCATTTGTCACTTTTGGCTTTTGTTGACATTGCTTTTGGTGTTTTAGTCATGAAGTCATTGCTCATGCCTATGTCCTGAATAGTATTGCCTAGGTTTTCTTCTAGGGCTTTTATGGTTTTAGATCTTACATTTAAGTGTTTAATTTATCTTAATTTTTGTATAAGGTGTAAGGAAGGGATCCAGTTTCAACTTTCTACTTATGGCTAGCCAGTTTTCCCAGCACCATTTATTAAATAGGGAATCCTTTCCCCATTGTTTGTTTTTGTCAGGTTTGTCAAAGATCAGATGGTGGTAGATGTGTGGTGTTATTTCTGAGGCCTCTGTTCTATTCCATTTGGTCTATATATCTGTTTTGGTACCACACCATGCTGTTTTGATTACCGTAGCCTTATAGCATAGATTGAAGTCAGGTAGCGTGATGCCTCCAACTTTGTTCTTTTTGCTTAGGATTGTCTTGGCTATGCAGGCTCTTTTTTGGTTCTATATGAAATTTAAAGTAGTTTTTTCCAATTCTGTGAACTCAGTGATAGCTTGATGGGGATAGCATTGAATCTATAAATTACCTTGGGCAGTATGACCATTTTCACAATATTGATTCTTCCTATCCATGAGCATGGAATGTTCTTCCATTTGTTTGTGTCTTCTTTTATTTCGTTGAGCAGTGGTTTATAGTTCTCCTTGAAGGGGTCCTTCACATCCCTTGTAAGTTGGATTCCTAGGTATTTTAGTCTCTTTGTAGTAATTGTGAATGGGAGTTCACTCATGATTTGGCTCTCTCTTCCTTGATGTATAGAAATGCTTGTAATTTTTGCACATTGATTTTGTATCCTGAGACTTTGCTGAAGTTGCTTATCAGCTTAAGATTTTTGAATGACCCAAATTTTTACACTCTGAATATCTTGGTTAAGCACTAGCAATGAATTCCTAAAAACACATAGATTAAAATTTTTACTTAATAGCAGGTAAACATTTTAACTGCCTAAGAAATACACTACAGAAACATAAAACTATATAAAACATTTATACTAAAACAAGTAATCAAATGACAAAATCACCATAGTTAATGACAACAAGCCCAACATTCCAGCAGCCCTGTTATATAATATCAGGTTAAATATTTTATCTTATTATATAATTACAAAGTGATACTACATTTTCCCACAGAGGCAAAAAAGGAACTAGTCACTAGGTAATATGAAAGGAGATATATACAGCCAGCAGGATGGCTCAGACCTGTAATTCCAGTGCTTTGGGAGGCAAGGATGGGAGGATTGCCTAGCATTTGATACCAGCCTGGGCAATATAGCAAGACCCCATCTCTAGAAAATTTTTATTTTTTGAGATGGAGTGCAATGGCACCATCTCGGCTCACTCCAGCTTCACCTCCAGGGTTCAAGCGATTCTCCTGCCTCAGCCTCCCGACTAGCTGGGGTTACAGATGTGTGCAACCATGCCCAGCTAATTTTTGTATTTTTAGTAGAGACAGAGTTTCATGACCACGTTTGACACCATGTTGGCCAGGCTGGTCTCGAACTCCTGACCTCAGGTAATGCAGCCACCTCAGCCTCCCAAAGTGCTGGGATTACAGGCATGAGCCACCACGCCCTGCGGCAAAAATTTTTTTTAGTTAGCTGGGCATGATGGTGTGTACCTGCAGTCCCAGCTACTCGGGAGGCTGAGGCAGGAGAATGGCATAAACCCGGGAGGCGAAACTTGCAGTGAGCCGAGATCCGGCCACTGCACTCCAGCCTGGGCAACAGAGCGAGACTCCATCTCAAAAAAAAAAAGAAAAAAGAGTTATAATTTGTGGTATAGTTGGGAGTGTGAATTGAGGTGTTCTTAACTGCTAGACTGGATTGTAGAGAAAATTGTAAATGTTTTAACACACTAGTGTTTCTACTGCCAAATTCCTGTTACCTCATTAATTGCATTCCATATACACCTTTTGCAAATGTTTACCACATAGTCTGTTTATAAACATCTTAGATATGGCAGAAGTTAACTACTAATTTTTATGGTTTTCATTTTAAAATACCTGTTTTGCATAAACAGCATGAGAAAATCTTGGCCAGGAATCCCTTCTAGAAAATGCCTTATGTTAAAGATGATGATATACAGCCACCATTATTAGAAGAGCTTGTACTTTCAAGGGGATTTCTGGGGTGGTGGAAATTAAATTTGTAATAACCTATCCATATCCCTTTCCTCCAGGCTGACATGTTTAGGGTGACTGGTCACATTAGTTAGGTGGTATTGGCACAGAGTTAAATATCCTGCATACAAAGTGAATTATAATCTTGGCCTAATTGATATTTATTTGCCTTTCTAAACAACTTTTCTTAAAAAAAAAAAAAAAAGAAAAAACAAACCTTGCGTTTAGGCCAGACACAAAGCAGAATTAAAAATATTAAATATTAGTTTGCCCACCATACTTCATATCATAATTATACTCTGGACATCTACAAGTTTATTATGAAAATGTCTATTCAAGCCGGGTGCGGTGGCTCAAGCCTGTAATCCCAGCACTTTGGGAGGCCGAGACGGGTGGATCACGAGGTCAGGAGATCGAGACCATCCTGGCTAACACGGTGAAACCCCGTCTCTACTAAAAAATACAAAAAACTAGCCGGGCGAGGTGGCGGGCGCCTGTAGTCCCAGCTACTCGGGAGGCTGAGGCAGGAGAATGGCGTGAACCGGGGAGGCGGAGCTTGCAGTGAGCTGAGATCCGGCCACTGCACTCCAGCCTGGGCTACAGAGCGAGACTCTGTCTCAAAAAAAAAAAAAAAAAAAGAAGAAAATGTCTATTCAAGACAGATTTCAAACCTATGCCAAAAAAACTCTTCAATTTCAAAAGTAAAACTGTTCATGTTAACATGAAGAATATTATTTATACTTACGTACTTTCTCAGAAGTAAAGCCTTCCGTTCTATGCCTCTGCTATACATGCATATAGCATACTTTTGGTTTTTACAAAAATAGCTTCATATTACACAAACTGACGACAGAAAATGCTGGCTACTGGGTTTAATTATATAAACCTAGCTTATTATGCCTTAGATACCTGAAGTTAAAAACCAACAAAAATGGAGGAAATAATCCTTTTCCATTCTTAATAACAGATTTCTGGATGTCATTTAATTAACCTTGGATTAATATAATACCCTTATACTGATTGTTTAAAAGCTATCTCATTAACTACGCTATTTAAATGTAATCTGAGTTTTAGAGTAGGCTTTCCCAAATTGTACTTAAGTTCTTCGGAGAAAAAGAGAGGTGTAGAGGACAATCTATGGTAGTCAAGTTAAAACACTCCAAGAGATCATCCAGAAATTTGTCTAAGTTGTACATGTGTTTCCCAAACTTTGGGTATTTGACCATGTGATCCCTTTTAATGTTTGAGAAATGCAGAATTTGTCCTTATTTATTCCAGATATGAAGTAAATCAGCATGATTCTATAACCAGTAGCAAACATAAAAGCAATCATTCCTAAATAAGATCAAATTTCCTCCAACTTAGAACCATATAAAATATAAGATCTATTTCAACATTAGGTTTCCAGCCCACAGCTTCCTTTGTTGTTTCTTTTTTCTGTTTTTTGAGATGGAGTTTCGCTCTGTCGCCAGGCTGGAGTGCAGTAGCGCAATCTTGGTTCACTGCAACCTCTCCCTCCTGGGTTCAAGCAATTCTCCTGCCTCAGCCTCCCCAGTAGCTGGGATTACAGGCACATGCCACCGCACCCAGCTAATTTTTGTACTTTAAGTCGAGACGGGGCTTCATCATGTTGGCCAGACTGGTCTTGAACTCCTGACGTCGTGATCCACCCGCCTCGGCCTCCCAAAGTGATGGGATTAGACATGAGTCACTGTGCCCAGCCTCCTGTGCTTATTTCTAGTCTACTTATTACAAATAAGTAAAATTTAAAATGTCCTTATAGATCTGATAAGTAGTAACATGCTGTAAGTTTTCATATGGATACTATGGCTCAAGTTCTGACACACAAACTTTTATTTATTTGCTTATTTTTGATAAAATGTTTGTTACAGGCAGCCAGGGGACAGCTTTCTTTTTCCCCCCAAGACCAGCTTTAGAATGGTAATTGATTGTACTTAGTTCTCAGAACTTCAGAAACGTAATAGATAAACAATTTCTTAAAAGTATTCTAGATAATAGCAAATGGGATTCTTTAACAACAGTACTCTGTTGCAGTGAGAGGTTTTTTCTGAAGCATCCCAAACCTCACAAGATTCTCTTTACTCCCCCAATCAGTCTCTCTCTCTCTCACACACACACACACACACACACACAGAGTAAAATCTCAATCTCACATATATAAAAAGGCTCTCTAAATGATGGGAAAAAGTGCAAAAAAAAGCATACGTCAAACAAATACAAAATTGGCATGTGTTAAGGCTAACAAATTATAGAGAAACAGAACTTTAGATACCTTTAAGTTGTTACAACGGAACGGATAAAACCGTAACTTTAGTAGATAACTGAGAATTATGACTATATCCTTTGCTTCAATACTTTTACTCTAAAATGTGACCCTAAGTAAAAGATGTACATAAATTCTTTCCATGAACAGCTTGATTGCAGAAAACCACATGTATTTTAGATATATCTTAACACTGAATTATTTCAGTGCCTTGAGTTATAATGTGTTGCTCACACTGGCACCAAGTAGAGACTGATAATCTAAAAGAATAGCATTAAGTGTTATTCAAACTCGTCCATAAACATTCTCAGTGGTCCTTAGGTTCTCAGATATAGTCCTGAAGTTTTACAAGTATGCTTAGCTGTAATTGAAAATTCTAACCTGCATAACATAATGTAACTTAAAAATGTAGTTCCACCGAAAAATAAAATAAAATCCAGGACCTTACAAAAAATTATCAAATTTATTTTAATATCTAGTTTCATTTTTAAACTGTAGCTGCTGGATAATTTTTTGTAATTTAAAATTCATTATCAGGGTACAGAAAACATTAATAAGCTGACAGTGAATTAAATACTAACAGTGAACAAAATTATTGGACCATGCATTTATAAAAGCCACGTTTAATAGTAAAACGTTCCAGTTATACTACTTAACTGAAAGAAACATCCTTTAGCTCCTTACTTCCAATTACAGCACATTCTCATTTTGATATAATTTATCCTTTTCACCCAATTACTACTATGCCCAACAAAATGTTTCCAAATTTTATACCTTTCTTTACCACTTAAGAAGTATGACATCACCGTTATGCTTTACAAGTTCTTTAAAAGAAATGTGAAATTTAAAGTTTTACTTTGAAACTGTTTGATCAGAAAGTATTAAATATCACTACCACGAGTTAAAACAAAGAATGAAATAAAATACAAAAGTGGTGTCTATATAATCAGCGAATTACTTGATAAGACATTTTAACTATTTTACAGTTCTGCTTAGCACAAGAATAAACCGGTTCCAAAGTACTACAGTGTTTGGCATTTTTACTGCAAGCTTTAGACCATAGTTTTACTCCTCTCAACAAGCCATCTCTAAGAAAATGGCAGTGTTTGTGAGTACAGAAATTGTTCTAGCCAGTAGGTGGTATTCTACATAGTCAAGATAAGAGAATGCTTTATAAAATTGTTTTAAAAAATGCAAAATGACTTGATAATTACCAGCTGTCTCAAAGGCTATAAGAAAAATGCAGCAAATAGAAGTACTCATTGATTAATATTATTTTGTTTTGAGAAAGCCAGAAATGATTCTAAGAAATAAGCAATAATAAAAGACGTAATTAATATACTGTATCTCTTTTAAGCCAAAGCACACTTTTACCTCAAACAAGACAGTTCTGACTTTTACATTCTTAATTTCCTTTGTCCAAAACAGGACCCCATTTTAAATAGAGTTCATTTGAATTGAGTTCATAATCTAAAGTCACTTTTCCCCACAGGATGTTTTCATTTCAGTAGACAAACTGCTAAGTGGCAAATGACTAAGTCAGTTATAAAGAATTTGTACCACAGTAAATGATAATTTATAGTAACTGTCAATAGAAACCTATAAACTTCTACACCCAAGCCTAAAAGTTACTATAGTATTGAGGTCAGAACTAACATGATTCTTCCATTTGGTCAGATTTCATTTACTAAATAATACTGTCAAGAAATCCAAAGAAGAAACTTTAGTGGGTTCTTCCAAAGCTGCATAATTTTCCAAATGATTTTCCTCTGGTTGCAGAGCCTGTTCAGTCCTTCAATCCTTTTTTAGTCGTTTAGCTTTTGCAATGTTTTCTTGGCGTTTTTGTTTCTTCTTTTGCTCCTTCTCCCTGGCCTCAATCATCTTGGCCAGTTTCCAAGACAGTACAGCACTTGCTAGGAACAGTGGAGTAAGGGCCAAAATAACAGTTGTAAGGAAGCCATATGGGTCTTTTGCAGCCCATTCCACAACATACTCAGCCCAAGCCTTTATATCAAACATCTTCACTGCAGTCTTATGAAAACTGGGGCTGGAGAAGGTGGGTGGAGAACACAGAGGAAAAAAACAGGAGAAAGACTGTGGTTAGTCAAATTTTGAAAAAGTTTCCTCACACAACCAGTTAACTTATGATTCCATTATCACTCAGTTTGCTTTTTTAAAAAGTACTAATTAGTACTACTGTAATAAGGACTAGTATTTCCAGTTAGGAAAAAGTAATTCATCTAGGACAGCCAGAATAGTGACACTTCAAAGATGTAAAGTTATAGAAGATTTTAAAAAGCCATGTGACTCTGTCATAAGGACTATGCATTCTCACATGCCTCCTATATGGAAGACAAACTTTATTTAGCAGGAGGCTTTCATAAGAATCTTGAGTTTTCTATGGTCATTAAGAGCTGAACACAGTTTGTCATTTTTTGACATATCCTTAGTATTACTAATTAACAAAAATACAAATCAGCAAATTTGGTGTTTGAAAAGGACAAGCTGCAGAGCATCTGCAATACTCGCAGAGAAGGAGAGATGGCTATTTCCAGGAATGGGAAAGGGAGGGTAAGGGAGTCATGACATCACATTAATATGCCAAAGCAGCAAAAAGTACTGTGCTATTTTATGCCCTTTCAGCTTTGAGGACCTCTGTTGGAATAAGCCTAATTTAATAAATGAGAAAAGTAGCCTTAACAAGATGCCATGTGTTTTGTTCCTTTTTGAGTGTAAGGAAAAGGCATCTGGCAAATGAGGATTATGTGAGTTGAGTGATGTTTTCTATTTTGCCCCAGAGGTTTTTCTACCTTTCATGTTTGTGTCAACCCCTATTCAAAGTGGAGAATTAGAATACCTGGGTAGGGAATGAGATATATACATCCACTTACAATTTCAACTGGAATTTTTTTAAAAATTATCTACCTTATGCTTGAGTAGTGATCTCTAACTTTGTCCTGGTATTATTAGTGACCCAATCACGACTTCAGATGACCCTTGGTAGTCTGTCTTCTTGAGTTCTACTGTACACATCTGAGAGATGATTTAAATTCTGTACAATTGGCTAGCTGGAAAGAATACAAAAAATAAAACAAAATTTAAGTCACAACTTTCAGGATAATTGTAATAAAATTTTAAATGGAAAATTTCTATATTGTATATACGCAACCTATATGACATCTAAAATTGCCTATCCATTATAGTAACTTAATATGTTTCTTCCTCATTTGAATTTACCACAATTGCAAGTGCCCTGTAAGAAAATCCTAATTACTGGAAATCAAGTATTTTACTAAGTTACTTATTTCAATAATAAAATGTTTTTAGTTCATTGACATATAGAAGACAAGTTGGCTCACTGACTTACACAGCATAGCCGTTCCTAGATTTTCAACTTTCTATACTAAAAATGTTGCCATTCATTCATTTACTGGATTAAGTACACCACTACAAAATCAAACACCTCATTTTAGTCTTTAAAGGTTTTTTTGGGTCTATCATACAATTTGTGTCCTTTACTTAAAAAATTAGAAGACATAACCAAACAAATTATAGTAATTCACCCACAGTCCCATTACCCCAGGAAAACTATGACTGGTTTTAATTATATCTTTCCCACGATTTTCAACTGAACACAAATGAAAGTGCCTAATACGTTAAATATCTTAGCTCCCGGACTTCATAAGACCTCACCCATACAGTCAGAATTAGGTACTACCCAGATCGATCTGCCTTCACCTTCTCCAGCCCAGTAGCGAATAAACAATGTAAGTTTCAGAGATAAGCAAAAGAACTTTTGCAGTAAGAGTCATGGTCCACAGGCCACACATCTCCCTGCACCTCAACTTCAGACCCAAATACCCGCGCCTCCACACTTTCAGGAATAAATCCTACTCTTCCGCCCAAAACGGATCGACCCGGCTCGATCTCCCAACCAGACCCGCGTGGCCCCTGCGGCTGCAACTGGTAACACTTGACGGCCGTCCGCATTTCCTCCTTTGTCTTTCCCTTATTTCTTACGTTTCTCCCTTGCTCCTTTGTCTTTCCCTCATTTCTTACGTTTCTCCGCTGCTCACTCTTCCCTCCTTACCCTATCGGGGCCGCAGACCCACGGGGTCCACGTTCACTCCTGCCCCTCGGCCTTGGCAAGCGCGGGCCCGTTGTCGCGCAGAGCCGAGGGTCCTGGGGAATCCTGGATTGGCCCAGCCACACCTTGCGCCGCCGCCGTTTCTGCTGGACACCAGGAGAAAACCACGGAAGCGGTAGCCGCCAGCTTCCTCTACCTCGCCCCAGGGGCTTGGATCCCACTCCCCACTCACCGCCAGACCGGAAGCAGGAAGGCGGAAGTCGCAGCCTTTGCGTCCCGCCCACAGACGACCCGAACCGCCAGCCGGGCGTTAGGAAGTCTAGTTCCGGCTGCGCCATTGCTGTGTGGGTCTTGGGACCTCGAGTTGGAGGACGCGGGAGGGTGGGGGGCGGGGACAGGGTGGCGCTGAGATTTCCAGGGAGCGGCAGGTGAGGCCGCACGGGGCGGGTGACGGCACCCGGGCTCCTTTCCAGGCTTGAACCCGAGACTGCCACGTCCTGCGGGGACCAAGTGGTGGGCGAGGAGGCGTGGAGCGGCTTCAGGACTCAAGGAGAGGTTCCGAAGCAGCTAGGAACTTTTGCCTTTGCCTCACGAGGTCGATCGGAAGACAACCCCCATCCCCTGCTGTAGCCGGACAGTTGGAGGGTCCCGGGTGGGTGAGGTGTTTGGCTGAGAGAAACTCAGACCAAAAAGCAGCGGCAAGAAAGCATTTGGGTTCCCACAAACCGCCCGAAGTCAAGGTAAGGGTCACACAACGACCCTTGACGATTCCGACGAGTTCATCCTGGTTCACATCCCACTCCACGCCTCTGTCTTCTGGTTGGGCAATAGTTACATCCTTACGTAAAGGAGGCAAGCTGCGGGGCCTTGGTGGATCCACTCAACCTTATTACCAAGGGACATGCTGCCATGCTATGTGAAAAGGGGGGTTTTGTTGTTTGTTTTTAATTTAAGTACCTAATTCGTTTCACGAAAGAATGATCAATACCTGCCCAGAGTAAACTTGATAAGTAATTAAACTGTCAGGGCATAGAGTTCCCATAGAGATGCTTGTTCTTTCAATACACAAATAAAAGGATGCAAAAGTCAACATGCAAAAAGGGTGAGTTAATATTGTCTTCTAGGGGAACTGAAAGATTAGCTCTGGTTTGGTTGGTGACCACATTTTGTGATTGCTTGCACTGTTTGACTACCTCTGACAAATGTTGCAAGACCTCTTCACTGTTTGATTCTCCAAAGACTATATAATGTTCTCTTTCAGGAGCAAGCTGCGACATGTTTAACTAGTTTAGGTAAAACAACAACAACTGTTATTTACCAGGAACAGACTTTTGGCAGATAATCTAACGATCTACGATACTGTCCGTTGGGCATATGTTAATGTTTGAGATGTTGTATTACCAGCAGTTGTTTTCTTACCCCTTTTTATTTGAAAACCTGGATTATAGTTTCAAAGCCTATGCTGCTTAGGCCTAGCCTGTACCTGTAGTAGCCAGCAAAAGCAGACTCAGTCACTGGATTGTGTGCACTGAATACTTACTTGAGATAACCGATTTTTCTAAAACTTCTCCAAGTCGTGAATCCAAGATGTGGTTAGAATGTATTATTTTAACATCCTTCGTTCCAGAGGCCAATGCATGTTTTATTTTAATCATGATAGATGGTTTTCCCAGTTACTGCCTCTGGATACTTGGAGTGCTGCATCCCTGGTTAAAAGCATGGAAGTCTCGGGCAGGAAGAAAGGGCAAATAAGGAGAAAGCCTTTGTAGCTCTTCAGCTGTAATCTAGACCAGGGGTCCCCAACGATGGACTGGTACCTGGTTTGCAGCCTGTTAGGAACAGGGCCTCACTGCAGCAGGTGAGCGATGGGTGAGTGAGCATTTCCGTCTAAATTGCGCCTCCTGTCAGATCAGCAGCATCATTAGATTTTCATGGTGCGAACCCTAATGTGAACTGCATGTGTGAGGGATATAGGTTGTGTGTTCCTTATGAGAATCTAATGCCTGATGATCTGAGGTGGAAGAGCTTCATCCTGAAAGCATGCCCCCTCCCTGTCCATGGAAAAATTGTTTTCCACGAAACCAGTCCTTGATGCCCGAAAGGTTGGAGACTGCTGATCTAGACCATGCCTTTACAATCTAAGTTTGCTTATCTAGCTTCAAGTTACAGGACAGTCTGCAAGACCAAGAACAGCATAGGGGTTGCCACAGTGGAGCTCCTTATTGCAATCTGCATTGCCTTAACTAAAGGTGGTGTCAGGATTGGTTCAAATACTGTGAACTGCTTTCCATAATGAGGAGTCTGAGCTTGTGAACTGAGATTCACAGTCTTGGTACAGTAATGATATGTATACTCTGATAAATCACTCTGAGTGTGTTTCCACTTATATATGTGGAAAGCATACTAGGCAATCTCCAATGCCCTTTCAGCTTTAAAATCTGTAAATTGGACTAGATTTGGTCATTTTTCTTACCTAAATAAATAACATAGTAAGGTATTTGATAGAAACATTATTGCAAGTTTTCTTAAGGTCTTTTTTTGTTTTTTTAATTTTGAGACGGAGCCTCTGTCCTGCAGTGGCGAGATCTCGGCTCACTGCAACCTCCACCTCCCTGGTTCAAGCGATTCTTCTGCCTCAGCCTCCCGAGTAGTTGGGACTACAGGCGGATGTCACCACGCCCAGCTAGTTTTTGTATTTTTAGTATAGATGGGATTTCACCATGTTGGCCAGGATGGTCTCAATTTCTTGACCTCGTGATCCGCCCGCCTCGGCCTCCCAAAGTGCTGGGATTACAGGCGTGAGCCACTGCGCCTGGCCCTTTTTTTTTTTTTTTTTTAAAAAGCATGGTCTTGCTCTGGCCCAGCTGGAATGCAGTAGTGCAATCATAACCCACTGCCTCTTCGAACTCCTGGGCTCAAGGGATCCTCCCTCCTCACCTTCTGAGTAGCTGGGACTACAGCCACAAGCCACCATGCCCAGCTTAGCATACTCATTATTTTTAAAAACTGACCAATGTTAATTTTCTGCTTATTGTATTCAGTTCGAAGTCAAGCCCGACTAGAGAGAACAAGTTTCAGTGATTTTTCTTTCTTTCTTTTTTTTTTTTTTTTTGATACAGGGTCTCACCAAGTCACCCAGGCTGGGGTACAGTGAGTCCATCACAGCTAATTGCAGCCTCAACTACCTGAGCTCAAGCAATCCTCCCACCTCAACCTCTAGAGTATCTGGGACTACAGATGCATGCCACTATGCCCAACTAATTTTTTAAAATTTTTTTCTAGAGACAGGTTTTCACTCTGTTACCCAGGCTGGTCCCAGACTCTTTGCCTGAAGTGATCCTCCTGCCTTTGCCTTTCAAAGTGCTGGCACTACAGGTGTGAGCCACTGTTCCAGGCCAAGATCTTATTTGTTTCTTTGAAAAGATCCTTAATCAGGTTTTTATTCTCTCTCAAATGTCTGTCAGAATACCAATTTAGAAAAACAAGGAAATAAGGTCTGCTTTATTTACTTCTAAGAAATGAGATCTTATTCATGTAAGTTTAGCCAAATTAACTAAACCTTATGCTGTTAATGAAGTAGGGCCTGCCTTTGCATAAGATAATTCCTGTGTAGTATGTCATACCACCAGCCTCTTCAGCACTAGTGTCCTCTATTGCAATTATATTTTACAAGTAGAGCCTTATAAAATTATTTTTTCTATTGAGAATGGAAGTCCTGTGGCAGTCACATGCCATTTTTTTGCTTAAAAAGTATTTTTCCCTTGATTGGTACAAAATTACAGCTCATTCTAACCCATGTCAAAATTGTAAGTAGTGAAACCAGAATAAGATTCAGATAATATTATTTTAAGATGATAATATAGTTTAATAATAACAATTGAGTCTTGTCTAAAAGACTTTGAGAGCTCTCTCACCTGCACCTTACTTTGATGGAATTAGTTTCATCCCTAAATTTTATTTTGTGAGGTTTTTTTACTTCTATTGAAACATAATGTAAATACATTTCTTAATAGGCATATTTATGGGATATTTATTTATTTTTATTTATTTATTTATTTTGAGACAGAGTCTTGCTCTTTTTCCCAGGCTAGAGTGCAGTGGTACGATCTCGGCTCACTGCAGCCTCTGCCTCCCAGGTTCAAGTGATTCTCCTGCCTCAGCCTCCAGAATAGTTGGGACTACAAGCATGCACCACCATGCCCGGCTAATTTTTGTATTTTTTGTAGAGACAGGTCTTTATCAGTCGGGCAGGCTGGTCTTGAACTCCTGATGTCACGTGATTCACCTGCCTAGCCTCCCAAAGTGCTGGGATTACAGGCATGAGCCACTGTGCCCAGCCAGTGATTTTTTTTTTTTTTTAGCATAATCAGATTTTATTGATATTTGAAAGTTTATACTGAAGAAGAATACTATTTTTTAAAGCTGCTTATTGTGGCCAGGTGCAATGGCTTATACCTGTAATCCCAGCCCTTTGTGAAGCAGAGGCGGGTGAGGTCGGGAGTTTGAGACCAGCCTGATGAACATGGTGAAACCCGTCTCCACTAAAAATACAAAATTAGCCAGGCGTGGTGGCGCATGCTGGTAATCCCAGCTACTTGGCAGGCTGAGGCAGGAGCATTGCTTGAACCTGGGAGGCGGAGTTTGCAGCAAACAGAGAACGTGCCATTGCACTCCCACCTAGGTAACAAGAGCGAAACTCCATTAAAAAAAAAAAAAAGCTACTTATTCCAGCACTTTGGGAGACCGAGGTGGGCAGATCACCTGAGGTTGGGAGTTTGAGACCAGCCTGACCAACATGGAGAATACAAAATACAAAATTAGCTGGGTGTGGTGGCTAAAAATACAAAATTAGCTGGGTGTGGTGGCACGTGCCTGTAATCCCAGCTACCCGGGAGGCTGAGGCAGTAGAATCGCTTGAACCTGGGAGGCAGAGGTTGCAGTGAGTTGAGTTCACGCCACTGCACTCCAGCCTGGCAGCCTGGGCAACAAGAGCAAAACTCTGTCTCAAAAAAAAGCTACTTATTGAGTACTTAGTATGTACCAGGTGCTGGGCTAGGTGCTTCACACTTATTATCACTAATCCTGAAACTAAACAACCCCACAGGATTGTATTTTTATACTAATTTTACAGATAGGGAACCAGAGACTTTAAAAATAAAGCAGGATTTTTAAGTTATCTGGCCAAATCACTGCTGTTTTCCAATCAAAACACAAAACAATTGTAGAATCATAAAACATACTTTTATGAAATCAGCATTGTTTGTCTTTCATTTTTCTTGACAAAAGCTGATTTTATAAAATGAAAGTATGTTTTTTGATTCTATAATTGTTAAAGGATAGTAACTAAAATCCCCCCAAACTTCAGAATTGCCTATTGCCCAGGTGGTGGCAGCATGTCTCAGAGAGCTAATGTGCTGGGGAAGGTTTTTTCCAACCTTGCCAGTTGATTGGCTTCTTCATCCCACATCCATGACATTATAAACCTCTCAATTATCTGTTGGGCTCTTTCACTGCTATTAGACCAACCCATCAGTGGTTCATGGTCCCATTAGCCTCATCTTCTGAATGGGTCATACTCTGCCTGTTTCAGCCTGTTTTCCCTGCAAAGTGTGACCAAATTATTTTCTGGAAAACTCATTTAGGCCTATCCCATAAGTTCTTTCAGTTATTATTTTTCCTACTATTATTAAGTGTTACTTGGCAGAAACACCTCCTAAACTAAATGTTAGTTAATATTATTAAGAAATGCTTGTTTAAATTAGAAGACATGCATCTTAAACTTTTGGAATACACCAATTAAAGGAGATAATGAAAAGCTTGTAAAAGAATTAGTCTTCAAAATAAGAGCAATAAGATTGAATAGGGAGCAGTGCAAGGTTATGTAATTTGGAAGGAATGCATGTAAATATATAGCAGAATAACTCGTTAAACCTTCATTAGCCAAAAATTGCTTAAAAGATTCTTTTCATGTCCTTGCAGGGCTACTGCCTTCCTAGAGGTTTCAAATGAAGTGGCACCTATTATAAAAGGCTTCTTCACCCCTCTTTACCTCAATCTGATATCTTGTGTACTGGTTCACTATCTATTTTT